TTTTGGAGAGGCTTTGACACAGTCCAAAAAGCCTATAAGAAACTTGAAAAATTAGTAATGAAAATAACAAACCATCCTAACCAACAAACACAAGATGATATGTCCATGTAATGGCTATTTATGTCTGTCAACCTGGATATACTATGGAGTCCAGGTATTTGGTCAGACAACTGGTATGGATGTTGCTGTGAAGGTATTTTTGATGTGATTAACATTTACCTCAGTAGACATTGAATAAAGCAGATTACCCTCTATAATGTGGGTAGTCCCCACAGTTGAAGGTCTTAAAAAAAAAAAGACTGAGGTTCCCTGAAGAAGAAAGCATTCTATTTCCAGACTACTTGCAGACTCAAGATCGCAACATCAGCTCTTTTCTGAGTCCCTAGTCTACCGATCCGCCCTGCAAATTTTGGACTTGCCAGCACCCACAGTTGTGTGAGCCAATTATTTAAAGTCTCTGGGTCTCTCTTTAATCTCTCTTTCTCTCTGTCTCTCTCATCTCTACTGTCTCTCTCTCTCCCTGTCTCTCCAGCCCACCCTCGTACAACCTGTTGGTTCTGTTTCTCCAGATAACCCTGACTAATATAGCTCAGTAATAAAGAACAACTCTAGAAACATTCCAGAGATGGTAATGATCAACTTCTATCATTGTAACATAATACTACAACAAAGCACGTAGTTTATCGATTACATTTGAATTATTATATTTTAACAAATACTGTGGGGTTGTTTGGTTTTGGTTTCAGGATTTCGTTTATTTTTTAAAGCAGTTACATTTTTTAAAATAGGCACGCCAGTATTTTTGTGATGCAGTCTATGACCATCAGAAATCTATTTCTAGATAATCTGCTTAAGGATTAGATGGATTAGTCCATACTTCTTATTAATCAACCCTTCAGCTTTCAATTAATTTAAAACCAGTTTAATTTGAATATGGGTGGGTTACTTTTTCTCTCTTTAAAAAATAATCCAGAAATATATTTGTGAAAATGAATCTGGACTTTGTGTTCATAGTGGTTTCTATTTACAGTTGCACTTTCAAAATTGAAAGTGATATTGTCATAAAAATGTTCATGTAAATTGGTGAAATTTTTAAGCATTGGGCATCTTTTAATAATCTCTGTGTTATTTAGTTTGTGATATGTTACTTTGATAAATTATTGCTATGAAAAGGGGTAACTGCATTTTTATACTTCAACTATATTTTTAGAGTAATAATATAAATTATTGATTTTCAAAAAAACACACAAAGAAGTGATTTCCCTCCAGGGAGCTTGAATCACTGTTGATGTAGATCATTGACAGTCTGTTGGCACATGCCTGATCCTTGATTCTTGATTCTGAGTGTTTGGAAACAGCAGCAAGACTTTTGAGTATCTCCTTCCTAACTTTAGATATATAATTATGTGTTAAACCAGTCAAAGCCCAGATGTCAGAAATATGTCAAATGGCCAAATATCAAGAGAGGGCATCTATGTCCCACTAAAGCAGCATCATTTGCCGACCATGCTTCTTAGGTCTTAAGAAGATGCTTGCCATTTTATCAACAGTCACTGCTGAGATAATGCAGTGGAACAAGTTATACGAGAACCTGAAGTAGCTATGGGAAGCGATATAATTATTTTCCCTCAAAAAGCCGATTTCCTTTTGCAACAAAAAGATAAGTGTTGCTTTCCATGATTTCAGTAATTCAGTAACACAAAAAATAACTGATTGGATAACAACCTGATTATTAACAATTAAAGTGCTTGACCTAAAATTTTGATTGAAATGTTGACATTGATATGGTTTCAGGGAAAATTGGAATTAAAGTAAAGCAGCACACAAACTGTAATAAAACTTTTTTTCAAATGCATTCCACATTCCTGCTCCTAGTCCCTGCATGTGGAACAGTATGAGTAAAGTGTGCATGGTGGACTAGGTAAATGATGCCTAAGATCTGGGATAGCATTGCCATAGGGCTTCATAGTCTGACTCTCACCAGTTCCACAAAAGTCACAGAACAGTAAGCCAAAGAGCATGCATGTATAAGTTCTTCTAAATCAGAAACTCGCCATCTCAGAGATAACAATCTGTTCTTCTTGCTTATGAAGTACATCCTTCGGAGCTACAGAAAGGTGGAACATGGCCCAATGGTATAACTCTCTTAAAATTCAAAGTACATTTATTTAATGCAACTTTCAATCAACTCTTCAAGGAAGGTGAAGTGAACTCATTCTGTAGGTGGATGATAAAGGTACTAAACAAGGTTCTCAATCATCTCTAAACCCAATGGGTCTGATTAGATTAGGGGTGGCAGGGGAGAAAAAAAACGGTAAATGGAGGAAGTACTTTACCAATTCTGTGTAAGGTATTGTACTCAGTAATTTTATTTGACTCTTTTCATTTTCAGGCAAAAAATTCTGAAGTTTATATATTATCTTTATTATGCAAATAAAATGACAAATTTTGGAGAGTTAGAATATTTTGCCTATAGTTACAACATGTATCTAGAATTCATATGCATGCATATTTTACCCAACATCCATGTTCTTTCCACTGTACTATAACATCTTTCTGTATGACCAGTCAACTCATATATAAGTGGAAAGATTAAGCTTTTCTGAAAAGTCGAAGGACATTGTTAAATATTGTAAGGAACAACATTAAGGACATTGAATGTTGTCCTGCATTGAATGAGGCCATAAGTATGTATATGTCTTTTTAATGTCTTTCTAGTCACCATAAATTATAATACTATTTTAGAGTATTATAGTAGGAGTTCTAGGTATCCATAAAAATTATGGTTCTTGTCTTCTTGAAAGTACATGGGAAAATTAAAATTTCCTAATTTCCTGAAATCGGGATGATTAAATATCTAATATTTTGTCAATAGAATTTATGAGAAGAAGTGGCCTGTCACTTCCATTGGTATGGACAGGAGACAGGGAAACACTGGATAGAAGACGGTAGTCCCCCGAGAAGGGACCCACCCTCAAGCCTGAAGACCCATGGCCCTAAATAGGGACAGGAGTTTCTGTTTTTATGCCCCAAAGTTGTCTTTTGGCCTGCTGTGCCCCCTGTCCTATACCCACATAAACCCTGAACCCCAGGTTCCAGAGGCAGATGAGCAGACAAAGAGACAAGGAGACATACAGGTAAAGGGCAGAATGATGTGACAGAGAAAGAGAGAGGAGGAGGAACATCTGAATGCTGGGAGGAATTCAGCTGGGGGCAGTCGGAGAGGAGCTTGGCTGTTGGATGGCCAGGCTCCAGAAGAAGATCATCTCCCCACTCCATCACGATTTCCACTCCATCCATCCTGCTGAGAGCCATGTCCACTGCTCAGTAAAACCCGTATATCCATCCTTTCAGTCTGTGTGTGACCAAATTCCTCCAAGACGCTGGACAAGAGCTCAGGATACAGAAAGCTGTCACACGGGTCCTCTGCCCTTACGGAAAGGCAGAGCGTCCACTGAACTGGTTAACACTCAGCCATCCATGGACTGCAGGCACACTGTAACACATGCTCGCCTGGGCTCCTGCACCTGTTCCTCTGTATGTTCCCCTTCTCGTCAGGGGTTTGAGCAGCAGCAGCAGTGACCAAATAGGCAGGCCACATCCCTGCCACCCATCCTGTGAGGGGGATCAGGGAATTTACCTGTTTCACCAGGCCAAAGCATTTAATTGACAATATTTGATTTTTCAACTTTCTCTTTCTGTGTCACAGTAAACCTGAAGGCACATGTGTGTGATTGCATCATAAAATGGCATAGGGTGATGTGTGGACACAAACCTACTGCCAACTTGCGTTGAAAATATATAGCTTAATATAGTTTAAAATAAAGTTTACTTGTGTTAAGCTATGAAGAATTTTGATATTTAGTTACTGCAGCATAGTGTAGGTTCCCCTGATTGATGAACTTAAAATGAATATATTTCTCATGTATTATTCCTTTCTCACTAAGTAGAGCAGTCCATTAAATAGTTTATATGGGTAAAACATCAGAAGTAAGAAAATGTTCCCATGATCACTATTGCATTTCATCCTTCCTACAACCTATTTTTCATCATCTCATTTTGAAGAAGAGGGTGTTCAAGTTCACGGGGGCAAAGGAATTTGTTCTGTACTGCACAGCAATTACTTAGAGTCAGGATGTGAATACAGATCACTTAGGTCTTAGCCCAGGATTTCTTTCTTTTGTCCTTGACCATTCCCAGTTCTTAGTGCCAAATCCAATAAATGTGTTTTAGATCTAAATGGACTCTTTTAGTAGGTTTTTCAGCTGCTTTTGACATTATTGATGTTGTCCTCCTCAAAATTCTCTATTCTCTTAACTTCTGTGACACCACCTTTTTTAAAATTCACTCTTTTATCTCTCTTTGCTTCCTTCATGAACTTGCCTTCCTCTGCCTGTCTCCTAAATATTCATATTTTTATGTGTTCACAGCTAATTTCTTTCCTTTTTTCTAGCATCTCCAACTGGGTGATCTCATTCACTCTTGCGATTATAATTCTTAGTTTTATGCTAATGACTTTCTAATTTATAGGCAGGTACAATGTTTTTTTCTGAAATTTAAAGCTCTATAGTCAGTGCCACAGAGGCATCTCTTTTTGAACATCCCCAAGGCCACTCAAATCCATTAGACCCAAAATAAATGCACCTTCCTCTTCACCTGCAAGTTACGTGGTCCCCCGTATTTAAAATAATGTAATTATCATTCACTTAGTCATTTAATCCTGAAGCTTGGATACCACTCAAAACCCATTCATCTTCTTCATCACAACACAACCTATCAAACTGTAAAATATATTGATGATAACTTCTGGATATTGTAGAGGTTTTGTGCCTGTTTCCCTCCTTCTGCCAAAATTCCAGATTAGTTTTATTGTTGTTGTTGTTCGATCCTTTCTATTGAACTTCTATACAGACAATAACTAGGCATTGTGCAGTCATCTCTGGCTTTATTTCTCATTCAATCACATTGCTAGCAGTGTGCTGTCCTTAGAGCATCTTTTAATCAGTTTTATTGAAGTATAATTAATACATAATAAAATTCACACACATTTAAAAACAGTGTTTAATATGTCTTAATAAATGTACATGCCCATTGTAGTCACCACCGTGGGCTGCCATAGCAAAAGTATCATAGGCTGGGTGGCTTAAATGACAAATATTTATTTTCACACAGTTCTGGAAGCTAGAAATCTAAGATCGATTCAATTTTCAGTGAGGGCTTTCTTCCTCATTTGCAGACAGCCACCTTCTCTCTGTGTGCTTATGAGGGAGAGAGAGACAGAGACAGAGTCAGATAGAGAAATAAGAATCTGGTGTCTCTTTATAAGTAGACTAATGCTATAGGATGAAGGCCACATCCTTATAATTTCATTTAGCTTTAATTACTTCCTCAGAGGCCAGGTTTCCAAATACAGTAATGTTTTGGGTCAGAGCTTCAACTTATGAGTTCCGGGGGTACACAATTCAGTTCATAAAACCCATGTTTTCACCACTGTAGTCAAGATATGTAACATTTCTTTAACCATAAAAATAAATTATGTGGGCCGGGCGCGGTGGCTCAAGCCTGTAATCCCAGCACTTTGGGAGGCCGAGACGGGTGGATCACGAGGTCAGGAGATCGAGACCATCCTGGCTAACACGGTGAAACCCCGTCTCTACTAAAAAATACAAAAAACTAGCCGGGTGAGGTGGCGGGTGCCTGTAGTCCCAGCTACTCGGGAGGCTGAGGCAGGAGAATGGCGTGAACCCGGGAGGCGGAGCTTGCAGTGAGCTGAGATCCGGCCACTGCACTCCAGCCTGGGCGGCAGAGCGAGACTCCGTCTCAAAAAAAAATAATAAATAAGATAAATAAATAAATTATGTGGCTCTTCACTTTCAACATACTCACCGTCACAAAAAATAAATGAGACAAAACTAAACTAGTAAACCACTTGTCTGCTTTGGGTTCCTATATTACTTTGTCTTCTTGAGAGTCCATATAAGTGAATCATACAGTGTTTATGCTTTGTGTTTTGCTTCCTTCACTCTGCATAATGTTTCTGAGGTTTACCTGTTTTGTCTTGGGATTCAGTATTTCTTTCCTTTATATTGCTGAGTAGTATTTCATTATATGGAAATACCATGATATCCTTATGCATTCATCTGTCGACTGAAATATGGGTTGTTTTTACCTTATGGCAAAAGTATATGTTGAAATTATATGTTCAATTATGGTCTGATTATCTTGTGTAGGTTTGTTTTTATATTTTGGTAGTGGGCATCTATAGAAAGCACACGGTATTTAACTTCTGAAGGAGTGAATGGCACTTTATCTAAGTTAAAAATCTTACCGAGTCTTAATTTTAGGCTTTCTTTGCGGGGAGAATACATCTTACTTGTCTGTGTGATCTTTACTCTGAAGTCACAGTCTTTATTGTATCCTAAATAGTGCCATATTGGAAATAAGGTAATACAGGAAGCTCTCCACTCTGCCAGGGACAGGATCCCATGTCCTTTCCTATTACCCATCTCTAAGCACTGCCTGATGACTAACATCTCCCCTGCTTTCAAATCTACAGAATTTTACTCTGGTAAGGCTCAGATAATCCATTCTGTACATATATAATGTAGCCCTCAGCCACAAACTTGTGGGAGACCCCATATGGATTTCTGGGGCGCTCTTTGATTCATCACTGTTTTAGTTTGGGCTGCTATAAAAAATTAAAATGTCATAGACTGGTTGGCTTATAAACATCAGAAATTTATGTCTCACAGTTTTGAAGGCTGGGAAGTTCAAGATCAAGGTACTGACAGATTATGTGTTTATTGAAGACTCTTTTCCAGATCGTAGACTGCGGACTTTTCTTTGTATCCTGACATGGCAGGGGGAAAAAAATGGTCAGAGGCTCTCTGAGATCTCTTATATAAGGACACCAATCCCATTCATGAGGTCTTTACCTTAATAAGTTAATTATCTCCCAAAGGCCAGAACTCCTAATATCATCACCTTGGGAGTTAGGATTTCAACATATCAGTTTTGGGGGAGAATGTTACGATCTGAATGTTGTTGTCACCCAAAATTCAAATGTTGAAACACAATGCTCAAAGTGCTAAGATTAAGAGAAGAAACCTTGTGGGAAGGGATTAAGTGCCCTTATAAAAGAGGTTGAAGGGAGCCTCATTGCCCCTTCTGCTGTGTAAGCCCACATAGAGTGTGTCATCAATGAGGAACAGGCCCTCGCCAACACCAAACTTTATGGTGCCTTGATCTTCGAATTTCCTAACCTCCAGAAATATGAGAAATAAATTTCTATTGTTTATAAGCCAGCCAGTCTAAAGTATTTATGTTATAGCAGCAGAAACAGACTAATATGGGAGGACACAGATGTTCAGTCTGTAACATATACCTCTCAGACTCAGTTGCCCCATCTCTGATCTCCACGTTCTCAGCTCAGAAGACAGCAGTGTCCTGCTCAGACCTTATCCCTATGTGATGAGAAATTTCCCGTAGACAGATATCTAAGCAGTGGGTCTCACCTGTGAGCTCCCCTTCTCTTAGCGATCTCATGATGCACTGCATATTGCTGGAGTCTGAAGTACGTCATATATCTTTTCCAGTTTTAGTTTTAATGGTGCAGTTGATAGCTAGCCTGGAAAATTTTACTACCTGAAACATATAATATAATTTTATATATATATTATTTCATAGTATTATTTTAAACGTATTATGTCCAAGCTAAAAATTCCTTAAATTTTATGTATCATAAACAGCTCGGCAGGTTTTTGTTTTTTAAGGGCCTTGATGTTTGATTCCTTGACTCTATTCTTTAGCCTCTTTTAATCTCCATTTCGTGCCTGAAATTTTAAATTGCTTACAAAGACCATGATGCTGCTAGGTTCCACCCATTCCAACACACATTTTGTTATTTGACACCACACCATAATTAATACCTTGGAAATTTGTTATGATCCCAAAATGTTTCTGACATCACTTAGATATGTTTATCCCGTATCTGACAATAGGCTACTGTGAGCACATACAACAACTGAGTTAACAAGATATTTAGGAATCTCCCCAGGTGTGGGAAAATAATCTTTTAAATCTTTTAAGCAGTACACAATCAAATGTCAACAGTATCTTTCAGATAAACAAATAATGGCAAGTTCTCCTTTGTTCAGGGTGGGGAGCATGCCTGTTCTTTTGATCGTAATGAATCAAGTATAAGAAAAGGCATTTTAAAAATGTTCTTATAAAATACTAGCACTAAATTAGAGGTCAGAAAAAAATACTGATCAAGTATTTTAAAAATAATAAGCTTGGCTGGGCACAGTGGCTCACACCTGTCAATCCCAGCACTTTGGGAGGCTGAGGTGAAATGATCGCTTTAGCCCAGGAGCTCAAGACCAGCCTGGGCAACGTGGTGGGGTCCCATCTCTACAAATAATTTAAAAATTAGCCAGACATGTTGATGCATGCCGGTAGTCCTAGCTACCCAGGAGATTGAGGTAGAAGGATCACTTGAGCCCAGGAGGTCGAAGCTGCAGTGAACTGTGATCGCACCACTGAACTCCAGCCTGGGGGACAGTGAGACCCTGTCTCAAAATAATAATAATAATAAACTTAGAAGTACACACTTTTAAAGCCTTTAGCATATAAAACTTTGTACATTTCATTCATATATCCATCAAATATTTATCAATCACCTTTAATATTATATAGTACTTACCAGGGATACCCAAAGACGACTGAGGCATTCTTCCCCAAGAATGTCTTTTGAAATTGTTTCCTGAACATACCCTAAGAAAAAACTCTTCTCCTAAATTGAAAAGTCCAAAAGTAAATTCCTTGAAAGACAATCACTTATGGGTGGGAGCAGTGGCTCACGCCTGTAATCCCAGCACTTTGGGAAGTTGAGGCAGGCAGATCACAAGGTCAGGAGGTCGAGACCACCCTGGCTAACACAGTGAAACTCTGTCTCTACTAAAATTACAAAAAATTAGCCGAGTGTGGTGGTGCATGCCTGTAGTCCCAGCTACTCAGGAGGTTAAGGCAGGAGAATCACTTGAACCCGGGAGGCAGAGGTTGTTGCAGTGAGCCAATCTCGTGCCAGTGCACTCCAGCCTGGGCAACAGAGTGAGACTGTCTCAAAAAAAAAGGAAGACAATCACATATCTATATCTCTCATCAGCTTAGCAAAGAGATGAAATGGGAAATGCTGTATTTGTCATCACAGAAAGGAACAACTTAAGGTAATTTAATAAGGTTTTGCTACCACAATAGCATTAATGATTTAACCAAAAATAACAAATAGCATTTGGTTAAAATGTTTCCTTCAAACCATTTTAGTATTCATCTTATTTATGCCTGAAAAATATTTACACTGAACAGACCATGAGTCATTATTCCTGTTCTATAGACAGAACATTTTGGATTTTGTGAGTATAGACAATGTCAGTACCTTATCTGCATGTCCTTAGCATTTATCATTTTTATATATATCCATGGTTTTCTGCTTCCAGAACTTGTGTGTGACATTTGACTGAGAGTTTTGCGATTGGAGCAGGCTCACCTCCATGGAGCAGCCCAGAAATGATAGGGATTAATGCTTCTAGAGCATTCCCTGCTCTGTGATGGACAGGAGTTGGTGGATAAATGCTCCAGCTTCTTCACTCTTCCTGGGAGACACGAGGTTTTAATTGTCCTTTGCAAACTCCCAAAGATCTCAAGTGGGACCGAACCCTGTTTGCCCACAACTGTGACCAGTATTGACTTCCCATTTCCCTACTAGGACATCTAGGATTGATTCAGAAAAAAAAAAAAAAAAAAAAAAAAAAAAAAAAAAAACTTGCTCACAAATTTTGTCACAGGTCCGCTTGCAGAGGAAACACCTTATGAAAATCAGTAGCTACCTTAAATTCACATAGTAATAATTCATGGAGGTGGGACAAGAATACATGTCCTACCCACACATTTTAGTTTTTAGCCCAAAGAATTGAACTGAGATAAAGTTCTTCTTACCAAATTGTCCTTTTCTGTCATCCTCTTATCAAGTGGTTCTTCACTTTACAAATAAAGTGTGCGCATTTAGCTTACATAATTTGACCTCCAGTTCAGCTCTATTTCTCAGTAATATGTGCTAATTAACTATTATTTTTGAAAGACAGTGTAAGTTAATGGAAAAATCAGGGTTTTGAAGTAAGAAAGAACTGAGTTTAAATCTCTTTTCCACCTCTTATTTGCTGTGAATATTAATTTACTCTTCTGGTTTTTAAACAAAAGCTTCAAAAGCCTCTTCTATTATATGATGCAAATAATAACAGTATCTAAGTCATAGGATCTTGGCATGAATTAAATGAAATAATGCACATGAAACACTTAACATGGCTTTGTTTTCACTAAATATGTGGCACCTTTTGTTCTGATGATGATTTCTTCTTTGAGAGTAAGAAAGGATTTTTCATTCAATTTTGTATTAGTGCCAAATGAATACTTAGAATAAAATCAAGAGCTGGATTTATTGATCTCTTTGAGTAAAAAGGCCAACTTAAGACTTCTTATATGAAGGAAGCTACTCTGAGTTTTTTTAATGCACAGGTAAAAGCTTCAGCAGAACAGAAATCCTCTTACAAACTTTGGGAAATCTGGCTGTAGAGTCATCATTTCACAGGCCCAAAGACACTTAGAGAGCAGATAACCATATCTATTTATACTAGTTGGTTTCCTACCGATATTCTCTCTGACCTCAGGTGGCAACATATGAAAGTTGAGCTTATCTGGAAGGTGTTAAATTACTTTTGTTTAAAAACCAGAATAACAGTGTGATTCTGTCTAGGCAGGATTATTTATTCCTAAGACTTCATAATGTGCTTCTATGAATAGCCAAGCCTTATAACCTTTGGCAATGCCAATATAATAGCTATCCACCACTAGGTGACTTCAAGGTTTAAGGTCCTATATATATTGTATATAAGTTCTTACAATGTTGATGCAATGTGGGTAGGAAAAAAAAAAAAAAAAAACCTCGAATTTGTTAAATTATTTCCTTTTTTTCTTTTCTTTTTTTTTTCTTTTTTTATTATACTTTATGTTCTAGGGTACATATGCACAACGTGAAGGTTTGTTACATATGTATACATGTGCCATGTTGGTGTGCTGCACCCATTAACTCGTCATTTACATTAGGTATATCTCCTAATGCTATCGTACCCCCTCCCCCCACCCCACAACAGGCCCCAGTGTGTGATGTTCCCTTTCCTGTGTCCAAGTGATCTCATCGTTCAACTCCCACATATGAGTGAGAACATGCGGTGTTTGGTTTTCTGTTCTTGTGATAGTTTGCTGAGAATGATGGTTTCCAGCTGCATCCATGTCCCTACAAAGGACACAAACTCATCCTTTTTTATGGCTGCATAGTATTCCATGGTGTATATGTGCCACATTTTCTTAATCCAGTCTGTCATTGATGGACATTTGGGTTGGTTCCAAGTCTTTGCAATTGTGAATAGTGCCGCAATAAACATACGTGTGCATGTGTCTTTATAGCAGCATGATTTATAATCCTTTGGGTATATGCCCAGTAATGGGATGGCTGGGTCAAATGGTATTTCTAGTTCTAGATCCTTGAGGAATCGCCACACTGTCTTCCACAATGGTTGAACTAGTTTACAGTCCCACCGACAGTGTAAAAGTGTTCCTATTTCTCCACATCCTCTCCAGCACCTGTTGTTTCCTGACTTTTTAATGATTGCCATTCTAACTGGTGTGAGATGGTATCTCATTGTGGTTTTGATTTGCATTTCTCTGATGGCTAGTGATGATTTTTTCATGTGTCCGTTGGCTGCATAAATGATTTCTTTTAGAAGTGTCTGTTCATATCCTTTGCTCACTTTTTGATGGGATTGTTTGCTTTTTTCTTGTAAATTTGTTTGAGTTCTTTATAGGTTCTGGATAGGTTCTCTGTAGGTTCTCTGTAGCCCTTTGTCAGATAAGTAGATTGCAAAATTTTTCTCCCATTCTGCAGGTTGCATGTTGACTCTGATGGTAGTTTCTTTTGCTGTGCAGAAGCTCTTCAAGGTCAAACAGCAAGTGCTCGATGCCAAAGTTTGTTTTAATCCTGCTCTGTGTGATTTTAAAAAGTGTTATGGTGGGGAATGAAACATACTTGAGGATTCTGAGAATTCTTCAAAGAAACATTGATTTTGAGTCTGATAATATTATATGTTTTGAGTTCATACTATAAGTCTGGTACCTATTTTTATGTACAGCAGCTCTTTCATTTCTTGTAATAAATATGCATAGTGAATGAACAATGCCATTTTTAGCCCAGTAAGATATAAATTAGAGGCAAAGAGAAATTAAATGACTTTGCCAGGGTCTCACAGCTAGTAAGTGGTGCAGAATTTGGGCCTGAGCAATCTAGCTCAGAATCCAGTAGGTTATGCTAAACTCACTCTTAACAAGAGAATGAATTCATTATAAACAAGAAAAAACAAAAGGAAAGATATATATATATATATCTTTTTTGAGAAGGAGTTTCGCTCTTCTTGCCCAGCCTGGAGTGTAATGGTGCAATCTCGGCTCACTGCAACCTCTGCCTTCCAGGTTGAAGCAATTCTCTTGCCTCAGTAGCTGAGATTACAGGTGCTCGCTACCACACCCAGCTAATT